TTCTGTGAATGTAGAAGTTATGGAATTCTAGCTGAAAACATGTCAAACGATGTTAGACAATTTCTATTTATGTGAAGTGGTAAAGCTAGAGTAGTACAGTCAATTAGTCACAGAATCTGAAACCCTGCTAGAAATATCTGCTGTCCTAGTTACATACATGTATGTATGTAAGTACGCAAGACGGGCACATTCTCAACCTCACTCTGTCTCTGTCTCTGTCTCTGTCTCTTTCTGTCTCCCGTCTCCTGATGACATTCAACAACATCCCATTTGCATTTACGTCTGCACTGCAGTCGTCAAGCCTGTTTTGTCAATCCCAACGTTTCTTCGTTTGACTGGGCTGGCAAATACCAAAGAGCTAATTGAAATTTAAAAACTGCCTCTTGCCAGCAAATATGCGTACCATGTCCGCATTCGGCTAGGGAGAAGCTCATCCAGCATCCAGAGCAATAAATCAAAAATCTGCTGCACTTGCAGAGCCATAAAAACGGGAGCTGGACCACAACTCATACTGTATTGTGCGGGGAATTTCAGATGGCGTAGAGAACAGTGTAGTGAGCAGCACAAAAGGACGACGCAGTGGTCACTTTTATTTTGGGCCTCTGGGACTTGGGGTCTGTGGCGCACGCAGCATACGAAATTGAATTTCAATAGCATCATCACAATAATTGTCAAGCCAACTCCTGCTGCATACTTGAAGGAGCCGGCGCACTGCACACTATTTGCCATAGGCTTGTTTGGTGCACCATTGTTATCTATATACCCTGTAGGCGTTGCTACTGTGGGGCATTACGAACTCACTGACATGGTTGTAATGGATCTTGAAGCAGAAGCTAGCTGAAAGTCTTACTGCCTAACACATTTACTGGGTATTCACAGAGACCCACCATACTGCAGCTGGCGCAAATTTGCTCTGCTCTGTTTTTCTTATTGTTGTCAGGCAACAACATGATGCCATTAACGCCCGCCAGCAGCGTTCAACAGCAACAACAACAACAGCAGCAATAGCAGCAACGACTGTCGATGCAGCAGTGTCCCTTGCCGTTGTCGCTGCGTTTCGCATACGTGTAAATCGTAAATATCCGGCACAAAGCGGGCTGAAAGCTATGGCAGGAGCAGCCACGGCCAACCAACCAACCTGCCTCAATGCAGCAATAACAAAAGCGGGAGAGAAGGACAGTAAGGGAGAGAAAGAGACAGAGAGAGAGAGAGGGAGAGAGTACAGCACTTGGCCAAAGCATACCGTATGCAGATACTCATATATGTATGTGTGTGTGTGTGTGGGTTTTGGTTTGGGTCGCTATCATTGCGGGGCAAACTTTATGGTGCATTCGCAATTGTGTCAACAGAAGAAATGCAAATTTTATGCGGCAATTGCGAACGGTAAAAGATTCACTTAAACATAAATCTTGCAGATGAGGGCATATGCCGTAACGGCACACGGTTAAAATTGAAAGAAAAATCAATGAAATTGGTTCATTTAAATGAGAGTGAGCAATTAGAAAACAAATATTTTAAGAAAATTTTTATATTACAAAAATGTGCATATTTTCATTTTATTTTATATATATTTGCCAAGCCTAACTGAACGAAAATCACAGCTTGAATTTCTGTGTCACTAGCTAACACATTTTGTAAATAAAAATGTTGACAATTTTATACAAATGTTTGGTAAAAATATGAAAATTAAATTTAATAAAATTGTTAAATTGGGAAAATGTGCATGAGCAACTAGAGACAAAATTGAATCTTGATACAGTGATGTGGAAAAGCAGTTTAACGAACCGAAACGATATGCAGAAAATTAGCTCGAGGTGAAAGGACAAATATTGACGGTTCTAAATATGTCGTAAATGACTAAGCCATCAAATCTTTCCTTGGAGCCCTGGTTTAATAAGTGATATCTTATCAAATCTTACAGAGTGCTCTTAAAGCTGTTTTGCATCATATTTTTACACGTTGCTTGGATTTAAAAATTGATCAAATGCCAGGTAAATGTCGTAACTGCGAATTGGAATGTTCTGTACGGTACAGCTCAGCGGATGCTGTGTCTGCTTATTGTCAACGGAGTTTTTATTTACACTACTGCTGCAGCGGTCGCTGCTGCTGCTGCTGCTGCTTTTGGTTTTCAAAGAACTTTCGTTTAACTTGATATTTTGGTAGCTTCTCTTTTCTGTGCGCATCCATTTCCATATTCGTCTCTTTTGGCTGATTTGATTGCGCTGCGCTTTGCTTGGCATTTCCATTACTTTCCTTCCTTTTGCTGCAATTTTATGCTTTATTATGACGCTGGTTTTGCATCGTACTCAAAATATTCATAAATATTTATGAGGCAGCAAACAAAAAGCGAGCTCTGATCTATTTACAACCCCGGGCAACCGCTCTAAGCGTTTGCAGCGCTTTGAAACGTCACAAGATCCCAGCCCATTGCCATGCCAAATGCAATCTGGCAAAGTGCATATAAACCAATCGACTGAGAAAACAATTAAAAACGCTTTAGCAAATACCAAATTTCTCGGTAGTAAAATTCATTAAAATGCAGTAAGCTTCACGTGTTGGAAAGCCACTTCCGAACTAGAGATGAACCAAATGTGCAATGACGGTGAAAATTTCAAGTCCAGATGAATTCGTTGCTGATGAATATGCAAAGTTATTCAATGTTCGTATTAATTGAAAACAACTTTTGCAGTTCAAGCGAAGTATATTAGATGCCTTAGCTGAAGTTGTTAGGGGAACAAATTAAATTCTTCTGAGGACTTTGCTCTTACCCTTTCGATTTGAGCGAAAGTGCTAAACGTGTATATCCTGTGAAACTATCGACATGCGCTCATCGCTGACACATCGTTTAAAATTGGCTAGCGTAAAACTGGTTTTGGTCGCAAATGAAACTCTGCAAACAATTTCAATTTCCCATTGCAACTGAGTGCTCAAAAGTGTGTATAGCCATAAGTGGATACGTGTGTATGTGTGTGCATGTATGTGTTCGTGTGGGAGGTACAATAAATGAAAAATGCTATATTTGGCACTTTGTTCTCCATATAAAAACATAGCTACAAACTGCAATTTTTACATATTTTTGTGCGCTATATGCAAGGAAAATATGCTTTGATTTCCAACTGAAAGCCAATCTGTGTTCTTGTGCCTATGTGCCCGAAAGTTCGGCAGTCAACATGCCAATTCGATTAGATGCAAACAGTTCTGTGCGGTCTACCGCAAAAACTTTGCGAATGACGAAATTGCTAAGTTATCAAATTAAAAAAAAAAAACTAAAAATCTGCAAACTTTCAATGCCAGAGCTGTAAAGTTTTTGACAAAAATTGAATCATTCAATATGAAATATAAATCAACTACGAAAGTAACATAAAAGGCAATTAGTCGTCTTAATATTTGTTATAAACTTTTGCCCAGCTCTTAAGTTTTTGCAAAAGTCGATGAAAAATATTTATTTTAAAATAAAGATTGAGCTCAGATTGAAGTTTTTATGGTACTCGTCGAAAAACATTTATATACGTTAACAATGCAGGCCGGCCACACGGCGTATGCATAATATGCCACACGCAGATACCATAATTTGTTGCATAGTTTCGAGGCGTGGCCCTCGGTCAGCCAGCTGACTCTTGAATTTGAAAAAAAAAAAAAAAAATAGTTCATCATTTTGCGCTTTTTGTTAGTTGAGTCTTATGACAGGGTTTCTGAAAATTCGGTACAGATGACAACGGCTGTCGGAAACATGACTTGTTTTTCTTGCTGTTGCCTTTTTTTCCTGCACTCCAGCAACAATAATAAATGGACTCGTTTTCACACACTTCATTTTGCAGGAGCAGTCTGTTGCCCGCTTTTGTTGCATGTTACACTGGATGGACTAGTCCAGCTATACCCTGCAGCAATGCAGTCTAGCGCTGTGATGGAGCTCTGGCGTTTGTTTGGTCAGAAAAAAAATGAGAATGAACTGTAATTGGCAAATGAGAATATTATAAATATTCTGAAATTTCAGCAAATCGTAATTTCAAGATTTATATTTAAAAAAAAAGCAAAGATCATTTTACATGTGCATATGCTAGAGTATCTCCACGTCGAATGCAGTCATGAACTGCAAATGGAAATATATTTCCGCTTGTTTTGCTGCTCTTCATTTTCCCTTGTGTTGCCTTCAGCATGTCAGCTCTCAACTTTTGCTCTGACTTTAATAAAGCCAGAAACTTAACGCTTACAATAACAATAACAATAAGTGAGCCATCAGAAAGTCGCTTTCCCACAGACCATCTTACGGCTATCTGGCAGCACAAACATAAATTTTGACTGCACAACCCTAACGCTTCGGCTGTAACCGTCTTATTTCATAAATTATTTCATATTTCATTTCCTTTGCGTGCCACAGAACCACAAAAAAAAGGAAGATATATACACTATATATACTCTTGTGTATTTATATAAATACATATGTATATATATAGATAGTGTATGGAAATGGGTTGCTTTTTGAATATCAACTGCTTTTCGTTGCTGCGATTCAACGTCCTAGCAAATATAATACCCACTGCAACTTCAATTTCCTTCGTCCGGGCATAGCTTCCAAATAAACTGGATAAGCAGTGTCACATATATATAGATACTATCATATATTTGGTTGGCTATGGCAGAGATTTCCAATAATATTATAATTATTTTGAATTTTTTTTTTTTTTCATGAGTCTATCAGTATTTTTTGCAATTTTTTTTTATTTTTATGTACTATTTATCTTCTTTTTTTTTTTTAATATATATTTAAATGCAATCGCAAATTGTTTAAATGACAATGATTCATCATTATGCCGACACTAAGTGCAGTACAGTACACTGATTAAATAAATGCATTTAGCTTGTTGAACAATATTTACATTGTTATCTGGCATCTATTACGCGTTCACTGAGCAGAGCGAAATGACTAATTATTTATATTAAAAGTACTCCATGTAAAATATCAACTACTACATAAATATATATAATTATTGATGAAATTGAAATGTTTTCTAATTCCAGGTATATTTGATGGAACAAACAGTTAATTAAGTTTAAGCAACAAAACTGTGAGTAATACTTGAATATAATACGGAATTTCACTCTTGGTTTATTGGCTCAAGTGTTCTACAGTATAGCCACGTATTGGGCTCCACAAAACAGATGCCGCCAGGTTTTTGTTGTCTGTATGCAGCTTTGACTGCCTCACTTATTTCCCTTGGTCTACCTCTGGGGTTGAAGTACCACAGATCATAGGTGGGATTGTAGCCCAGTCGAAACATTTCTGTTGAATTAAAACTGTGAAGTGAAAAAGTCACATGCTAAACATTCTTTTGCACAATCTCCTCAATTTGCTACTCACTCATAATTGGCTACCACCAGAGTGAAGAGCAGCGTAAGGGCCACAGCAATAAGTAAGGCACGAGTCATATTGGCCGCTCAACTGTTAGCTGTCACCTGTTCAACTTGCGCTGAGCAACTGAAAAATTATCAGACTGCAGTCTGCTTTTTATAGCCAACACTAAAAAAAAAAAAAATAAATAAATAAATAAAATAAAGCATTTGTCTTTATTTATTGTTTTTATTTATTTAAGATTTTGTTTGTCATTTATTTTATTTATTTTAGGGAAATTATTCCGTATATTTTTAGAATGACCAGAACTAGAATTTGATACCTGATGCAGAAGTTACAAAAATAAATATTAGTGAATAACTTTTTAATAACTACAATATTCGATTAAAGAGTGAATTTATTTTTGGACTAAATTCAGACTCTGCTTACCAGTTTAATTGCTACTCAAATTAAATTTGCCGACTGTCTGTGTAGACATAAGGAATGTCCTGAAGGCTCTTTCAGCTAATAAGCTGCGGTTGAGAGGTCAAACACCTGAATGTAACATTCTTAAGATTTGAAAATTAACTGTTTACTGCCCATGATTATTTTGATACTCAACGGAAATTAAATCAAGCTTGAGTTTCAAGTGTTATTAATCTCGAGCACACTTGAAGCATTATTTAAATATAATAAGAGCCTTTTGCTGCTAGTTTATAGGGTATTTAATAGCTTAGATTGCCAAGCAGCTGTGGGCTTTCATTGAATTATGTACTAATTGCTTCTGTCATGCAGTCTCATCGCATAGCCGAAGAGCATTTATATCCCTGTAAATAATAATATGATTATGTTTTCTATTTCATGAGCAATGAGGATACATTTTTCCACAAGCTTCTTAATTATATACATATATTAGATTATACATATATATATATATATATATATTCATATTATACATATATATTAATGCATCTTACACCGAGTCTCGTAGCATTCAGCTTTTGTCATGCAGGTGCCTTAATTCAAGTTTCAAATTTTGTTTTTGTCACATTCACTAGAAGAGTTGGCTCATATTTTCATATTATGATCAATATTATGATCAATATTTCCACAAGTTTTATTAATGCATCTTGCATCGAGTGTCGTAGCATTCAGCTTTTGTCATGTAGCTGAGTTAAGTACATCTTTGTAAATTTATATATGTATATATTTTATAGCGTTTCGGTTTTTATTGTAAATCACCGCACACCCCTATATCCACCCCTTGCCGCGAAGATTTATTGATTTATCAGTTCCTTCTAGGGCTCAGGGGATTTCGTAGTCGCGCAATCTCAATCTCTTTCTTACTTGTTACTGTATATTTATTTTTTTATTTTTATTAAAATTATTTTAAAGTAATTTTTACCAGTAAATAGATTGAAAATATAATGCATACAATTTGCGCTAATGACACACGACACGAAATGCGTTTTAAACATATATTTTCTAATACAGCGTTACATCAATTTCGTAGCCTTGCTGTTGCTTTTGACAACCTTATTCAGTGCGTCAATGTCGCAACGCCGATAAAAGGCGTAAAATAGATTGTTCACGAATAGCATTCAACAATAGAAACGGGCATTTTAAAGCTTTGCTACAGATGCGGGCGCATTTGTTTATGGCACGATAGTGCCAGGGAGTTTGAAGCGAGCTTGTGGGCCACACACACACACGCACACACACACACAATACAACTGTGGTCAAAGAGAGCACAAGAAAAGTTATTGGATAAACACTTGGCATAAACACATTATGAGGCAGCACAAAAAGGCGCCGCATAGTTGAGTAAATAAATAAACAGACAAACGGAGGCAAGTTAAACAAATAGCACGTGCGTATGAGTGTCTAAATATGAATGTGTGTGTGCGTGTGTGAGTGTGAGTGTGTGTGTATGCAATATGTATGTAACAATTGTTAGTCAACTAAAAACAGCAAAAACATAGTACGTGTAAAGACAATTGCTTGCATGCTTTTCACATTTTTCCTATATGTATATTTAGACATGGCCACATACAAATAAACGTAAATATATATATATATGGACATGTATGCATAGAAATTTGAGTATTTTGTGTCGTTCTTTATGTCATGATTTGTTGCGGCCTTGCATGCAATGGCATAATAAGCCACAGACACACGCCCACACTCTAGCGGCAGTCAACACTCATTCGCCTCGTTGCACGGACTTGCTGCACGACTCAACCCATTGTTGTGGCATATTGTTGCACATGTAAAGCAGCTGCAACAACAGTTGCAAACTGAGAACGTGTCTGGCATGCAACTATAACAACAACAGGACATTGTCTCTTCTGGGTGTATGTGTGTGCCTAAGAATTTTCCACTGTCGCTGGCAGCATAACAAATATGCATGGGGTTTCACAGGATTTAATTAAATTATTATTTAAGCACTGGCAGCAGCTGAAATTTCATACCAAGGCTCAATTAAGTTAGCCAACACTTTTGGCATTTACTTCAAGTGCTGCAGCCAAGCCGCAAAACACAACATGGCGTATGCGTAATGCGTTAAACGTCTTTCGGCTAGCTGGTGTGCCTAAGAAAACAAATCCCAGAGGGCCAACAAACAGCATTGGCGCAGCTCAAAAGATTAGTCGGCATTTGATTAAAGTGTGAACATTTACAAGAGAATGAGAAAAAGAAGAAGAAAAAGAAGAGACGGAAACAGAGTCCTGGACAAAAGCAGGCCCCAAAAACAAATCAAATCAGAAAGAGAAAAAAAAAACGAGCCAAAACAAAAGATAAATAAACCAAATCAAACAAAGGCAAAGCGAAAAATCATGCCCTCAGTCAGTTAGTCCAGCTAGGGTTTCTCTCGTCTATTTCTTTTTCGCTCCATTTCGAACCGAATTTTCTTCTTCGCTTACAACATAAAAGAACACATCAAGGAAATGACATTGTTGAAAAACATTTGACCATTTTTCCTGGCCTGTCACGCAAAATTGAATTGTATCCCAAAACTGAAATCTAACAACAAGAATACAAAAAGTCACATTTTTTTGCAGAAAAGATTCAAGTAGGCAGCAAAAAAGTTTTAAAATATTTTAAAACATAAATTTACATTTAAAGATTATCTCGGACATCATTTCTGACGAAGGGAAGAGACTTACCTGTCCAATTTCACAGATGAATACGAAAAGGACACCTAAGGCAGCCTGTGAAACGAGCCGAGTGGACTGCTTTGATTTCAGGGTATCTCTAGCCAGACAGACACGCCTTACATTAGATTTGATTTTTCGAAAAATTATTTCTAAATCTCTTCTAAACACCCTTGTCACTGTGCCTTATGACAGTTGGTCCAGCAGTCCGAGCACATGAACTAAGTGACTCAGCCGAAGCTCGGGGATTACCAAGCTATGATTTACTACGCTCAACTAACTAACAACAGGAAAAGTAAATGAAAAGTATTTCAAACAACTTTAAGTGGCCCAAGGACAAAAATAAATCACATTTCATTTCAGTTTACGCACCAACTTGAGTGCAATAAAAGCAAACGAGCATTAACCAAAACGAAAATATGAAAAAATATATAAATAAAGCAAAAGTTCGTTTAAGAACAAAATGGAAATTCTTTAAAAAAAATTCTGCCAAAAAGAAAAGAGTAAGAAAAAACAGCATCAGGTCGCGAACTCTTAAGTTTTTCAAACTCTTGGCAAGCCAAGGCTGTTAAATATGTATGTATATACATATATGTATATAGCATAGTCGGGAAAGCGTAATACTTTGCACATTTTTATGGCGCTGACTGAGAAACCTAACCGCTCAGCGCAGCGGTCTCCAATTATGTCACACGCCCCCACAGATCCCGTTGCGTACCCAGCCCAGTCCGCTCCCTGAATGCCCAACCACAACAATTTCTTACACCAGTTTACGAGCATGGCGAAGAATTTTTTGCCGTTAAAAAGCGCAATTAAAATGCTTTGGTGAGCGCACAGCAAAAAAAAAAAAAAAAAAAAAAAAAAAAAAAGAAAAAGTTAAAGATGCATAAAAATGCCACAGCAACTAAATAAAATCCTCGAATAATGCAACATTCATTTAATTTCGCCACTGCAACAATCTCGGCCAAATAAAAGCGAGTCTAGGACGAAGATGAGGAATGTGCAGCCATTGATTGGCTTTATCGTCGTTTTCAAGCCATTTCACTTCATTTGCTGCTTTGGCCACTTGCTGCTAAGCCGAAACAATGCCAAATGACGGCGCAATAAATGATAAATTCGGGGCGTTGGAAAGTTAAGGAGATTGAGAGTTAGCAAAGTCTTGGATAGAGCTGGAAGCGAGAAATCCGTGACACGAAATCTTGTCAAAAGTTTCAAGCGTTCAGAACAACGTCACAATTTTCACAAACTGTACTCAACACTGCAGATCTGTTGATATGTTACTCAACACTATATAAACAATAAATTTAGACTTCTTCGGCATGGAAATCGGAGTTATTAAATTAAACATATGTTTTTAAAAATATATATAATTTCATATTAAATTTTATTTATTTTAATTATTTTTCAATTTAATATATATTTTTTACTTAATACTCAAAAATATTGTTTGCAGCACGAAAACATCGTGTGTGTTGCTTGCGTGTCCTCGTGCCTTGTTTGGGCAGCGTTCGACATGCTTTTCATCTCTTAAGGCATAGAAAATAGAATCTTTGGGCCGTCATCAGCATTTGGTATCATTTATTGTGTTTCTTAACTAAGGGGGAGGGCGGTTGTTATCGCATGTTAACACTTCATAGGAAATGCGGCCTGGTCCTTGCGATGACCTTTATATAACTGTGTGGCCTCCCTATTGGCCCATTTGCACCCCGGGATGTGGGCAGGCCAATACGCTTAGTTAGACGTTGTCGTCCCTTCTCCTTTCTCACTCTCTGTCTCTGTCTCACTCTCTCTCTTCTTTAGCCAGAGTCTGCTCTACCCCACTCATCAAGCGCTTTGCGTGCAAAATGTCAGAATATATTTTAGTTGAATTTATGGTCAGTGACCAAAAGCGAGCGGATAGCTGAGGACTATTCAGCTCTTATAGGGGATTTGTCTATGTGTGTGTGTGTGCGTCTGATTGTGTGTGTCCGTGTTGTGTGTTATGTCTCTGCTTATTT